AAACCCTTCTGTTATCAACGGCCTTTTCACATCTGAAAATATTATGGGTACTATTCAAAATTTTTATTCTTCACATTTTCGCAATTACAAAATTAGATTTACTCAAACAAAAGTTATAGATTTGAAATCGGAATCTGACCAAGAAGAACAAATTCTTATCGAACATAAAAGAGCACATCGTAATGCAAGAGAAAATAAGATACAGATATTAGAAAAATTTTACTTTCCAAAAATGACTCAAAAAATTGATGCAATAGTTAAACAATGCACGGTTTGTAAAGAAAATAAATACGATAGACATCCCAACAACCCAATTATAAATCCAACACCTATCCCTCAGTTTCCAGGCCAGATTTTACATATAGATATATACATAGTAGATTCAAAATTAGTACTAACTGCACTTGATAAATTTTCTAAATACGCACAGGCAAAAATTATTAAATCTAGAGCAATAGAAGATATAAAAGAACCATTAAGACAATTGCTTTTTATGTTTGGTGTCCCACAACAAATTGTAATAGATAATGAAAAATCTCTCCATTCCCATTCTATATTATTTATGATCAAAGATCAATTGAAAATTTAAGTTTTTGCTACACCCCCTAATACTAGTTTAGTTAATGGTCAGGTGGAAAGATTCCACTCTACTCTTTCTGAAATCTTAAGATGTCTAAAAATTGATGCCCCTCATAAGTCATTTGAAGAATTACTTGATTGTTCAATTTATGAATACAACTACTCAATACACTCTACAACAAGTAATAGACCAATAGAAGTTTTCTTTGGAAGACGTGTTAATGTAGATCCCGCAATGTTTGAAAAAGCTAGACAAGATAACATACAAAGACTAATAGACAAACAGAACAGAGATATGCAAACTCATAATAAGGATAGACAGCCTTTCAAAACTTATTCACATGGTGAAATAATTTATGTTAAAATAAACAGACGTTTAGGTACTAAACTAACACCTCGGTACAAAAAAGAAATAGTTAAAGAAGACAGACATAGTATAGTCATTACGAAATCAGGAAGAACAGTTCATAAATCTCACATTAAAAATTAAAAAAATAATATGTTACATATATTTTTTTAATCAACACAGGGCACTCTTCGCCATAGTGTTTCCTGAAACACAAATTTTGGACTACACAAATTCTCAGCTTGTTGCAATCAATATAGGTACAGCAAGACTTCAAACAGGATCATTCCGAATAATACATGTAATTGACATATCATTATATCAAACACTCATAGACGACTTAGAACTTCAAATTAACGATAACATTAATTCAGATCATCTTATTCATCCATTCCTTATCATGGAATTAAATAAAATAAAAGATGCATTACATAGATTAAAAACTAATTATAGAATAAAGAGATCATTAGATTTTATAGGTACAATGTGGAAATGGATATCTGGAAGTCCAGACCACGAAGATTTTGAGTTGCTTAAAAATAAAATAAATAATGTATTAGAAAATAATAATAAACAAGTAATAATAAATAGAGCAACAATTGAAAAAATTAATGAAATAAAAAATGTTACGAATCAAATATTAAGAGCTACCAAATCTAATAAAATTTTAAGAAATGAATTAGTTTTAAATTATAAGTACAAAATTGAAATTTTAAAAGAAGAAATTAAAAATATTAAATATGCCATTAATTGGGCAAAAGCAGATATTGTAAATGCTTTTATTTTATCAAATCAAGAAGTAAAAATTGTAGAGGAAACATTAAAACGAAATGATTTCCCATATATTAATTTAGATGAAGCATTAGAATTTTCAGAAGTAAAAATAGCCTTAAGTAATAATTCTATAATTTATATTGTAAACTTACCAACAACTGGTGATGAACCATGTTCAATTCTTACAATAAAAGCAGTGAAACAAAGAAATGTAATTAATAAAATAATGTACGAAAATATCTTACAATGTAAACAAAATATTTACGGAATCAATGTAAAATGTAAACAATATAATAAGCTATCTATTTGTTATCCTAAAAATCTTATAGACATTAGTAATTCGTCGTGTATACCAAACCTATTAGAAAGTCGTTCACCGACATGCGCAGTAATCAACAATCAACATATTCCATCTGTCGAACTAATTTCGCCAGGCTTAATATTTCTCAACCAATTTGAAGGACAAGCGATTATTAATAATAAATCAGCTGACTTAAAAGGAACATTTCTTATACGCTACCACAATGCATCAATAACTATAGATGGAAATAGCTATTGTGACGAGTTTTAGAATCTCGTCACAAACAAACAACAAGAAAATAAAATAAACAAAAAAAAAAAA